AAGTCTATCATAGCTGCACGTGTGCTATGTGTAGTGAGGCAGTTAGGGATCAAACTGGAAGGTAGGCTGGGGTACCCTCAAGAGATTTTGAATACCAAGCAGAAACATTGTATTTAATTCTTAGGCAGTGGGCATCCATTGAAGGGAAGCTGTGTGTGTGTGTGTGTGTGTGTGTGTGTGTGTGTGTGTGTGTGTGTGCCTCTGTGTTTGTGTGTGTGTGCGCGCGCGCGCGCGCAACTTGTTGTTTGTTGTTTGTTTTAATCAAGAAAAGCCTTTGATTAAAGTGGGCTTTAGAATATTATCATGGTCTAGGGAGAGGAGGGAAGGCAGTGGATTAGCACAGGCAGTAGCCACAGGTAGGAAAACCCATCATTAAGATGGAGCGGTGTGGCGCACTAGAACTAGGGTCCAGCAACAGACATAAAAAACATGTATATGTTGTTTGCAAGGAAGACCCCATAGGGCACGGCCACTGCTTTGCATATGGGAGGTACATATCTAATGAGCAGCCAGATTAGAATAGGCAGGATTGTCACATCTTACATTCTAATACGAGGGATTTAATTTTTTAAAGCCCAATTCTGTTGAAATGTTTACTCCAAGAAGCAATAGCTTTTGAGAATTAGTCCCACTGTATTCAAATCATTGTTAATTAATGCTTTATATTTGTGGTGAAGGAATTTTAAATCAGTGGTACCCCGCTTTGCCTAACAAAAGAATTTCCAGAGTTTACTAAAAACAGAGTATCAGACTCTTGCCCTTGAAGATTGACTTAGTGGTTCTAAGATAGTATTTGTGAACCTAGATTCTTATCAGTGGCCTTGTGAAATTCTTATTTGTGAGCTAGAAAGCTTGAGGAGTAGGGCCTTAAAGAGCTTTTTCACTGAGTAGTTTTTGTTTGAAATGGGGGTCATTTGTATTCTAACAATCCATGCACCCTCTTTTGCCTGCTCTCCTCACCTCTGCTGTCTTTTGATTTCTACATGCTCGAATTGAATGAAAATTCCTGGTAGATTTGCATCCGCTAAAAATCATATTTCTGAAGCTGTCCAGGCACCAGAAGACACAGCTAATCATCCATATAAATAAGAAATGGAGTTCTTGATCAAGTGCTGCTGGCAGTCAGCTGGGCCAGTGTACAGGTGTGGTGGGTGGCGTGTGAGAAGCAGGGACATAAAGCTGCCTGCAGCCACTAGCAATGACCCTCTTAACAGCCTCTTGGGAAGCCTGAAAGGAGGTCAGATATTGGAAAGTAGATTTTGCCTTTGTGTTAAACGACCTGTTGTTAACACTGAAAAATGTGATCTATTCAGGGGAAGTGTAAAAAATGAATCCTAGCACTTGTGCATTTATTTTCAGGAAGACACCGCCTCAAGGTGGCATCCAAGCATCTAGATGCCCAAAAAGGCAAATCTTGCACACTTTAATAGTGCTAGACTTTAAATGCAAATAGGAACAGTTAAATTGTTTCCTACCAAACAAGAATAATTTTCAGTCAGTCCAGGTTTGGACCAAGATAAGTCCTCAATAAATATCTGGAGGGAAATAAAGAGGCCTCAGGCTTTAGGCTCAGAAATTCCCTCTTCAGCCAGGTGTGATGGTGTATGCCTGTATTCCCAGTGGCTTGGGAGGTGGAGGCAGGAGGATCATAGATCAAAGTCAGCCTCTGCAATTTAGTGCGGCCCTAAGCAACTCAGAGAGACCCTGTCTCTAAATAAAATATAAGAAAGGGCTGGAGATGTGGCTCAATGAGTTCAATCTCACATTTTTTAAAAAAATGCCCTTCTTCTAAATAAAATGTTTGCATTTATTCTTAAGCCGGTTCCCCCACATTCTTCCTACAACCTGATCTCTTTCTGAGTTCAGCTGCTCTCTCCTGTCTTTATCCATCTCTATTTCCAAAAACCTTATACAGTATATAAATTGGCTGCTCAAGACCACCACATGGAAGAGCATCTATTTACCAGATCCTGGGGCAGAAAGGCAATTAGAAAAAACACAGTGTAACCCTGCTCACCTGGACTCACTATCCATGTAAGCAAACACACAGCATGATAATTGTAATAATCAAGGAAAGAACATAACCCGGACTAGAGGATGAGGAAGCAAACATTATCATGAAGCAGTGTATCCATGGATTTTGCTGGAAGTTTTTCCTGAAATTCTTCTAGACTTGCCCTGCATTTACATTAGAAAATCAGGGGAGAAATATATATTTCTCTTGTTAGTACGTGTGTGTGTGTGTGTGTGTGTAATGAAATTATTAATGTTTTCATGATGTTGAAGCACTGTTTCAAAGCAAAAATGATAGTATAATTTAGAAGAGATTGTGAATTTATGTGCATATAGACACACACATATTGCTTCCCCAAATTTTCAATAATTTCACACTTCTTTTGCAGTAGAAGTTTAGAATTGAGACCCATGGGTTTAAAATACTGCCTTGAGAACAGTGAAGAGCATTTGGTTACTTTCAGAAATGTACTTTGATTTATATAGTATTTTCTTCTGTGCTGATTTATTGGCTGCTTTAAGAACAAATGGAGAAAAGTAGCAGCAGAGTTGAACTGAGTGTAGGTCCTGACAAGAGCCTCCACTCAACCATGTGCTACATGTCATTTTAATCTTCTCTGAACCTGGGAAGCAACTAGACTAGACATAGATGGCTCATTGGGTGGGATTAGGAAACCTACCTTAAAACCACTATTACCTATGTAGATATATGCTTGTTTCATTTTTTAAAATAAGAATGCCTTAGTTTCCTTGACTTGTTTTGTTTCATCAAATAGCTGTGAGTGCAGTTGTGAAGATTTCTGTTTGTTCTGGTGATAACCTGAGAATTTAGAACAGATGGAACTGTTGCCTCTTTTCACAAGTAAATATGGAGGGACTCCAACAGAACACAGGTGGAGCTAAGAGCAGTAGAGGTGGGCCATCCACAGGATGCTACAAGCTCTTTTGTACTTGTGTCCTAAGAAATCTATGAAGCCAGTATTTCTAAGTAAAGCTACTCATCAAACTTTGTAAAGCCCACTGTGTCCTCTTTTCCAGGTACTCTAACATCACTGACAGCAGCTCTGTGACACAGACTCCCAGTGGTTGCTGGATGCTAATGTTTCCTTAGAATCTTTTTCTTTACAGACTTATTGAAATTAGGCTCTTCTGAACTTGGTTTTTGTAATCTGCATGTTTTTGCAGAGGAGAGAGAGTGATCTTAGGTCAGTAGACTCTTCACTTGCAAATGAGATTAGACACTGTATCCTCTGTGATGAGGGTTCCTCAAGCTCAGATTCAACCAACTGCCAATCAGAAATGTCTGGGGAAAAAGCTGTGTCTGTACTGAACATGTAAAGAATATTTTCTTGTCACTAAACAATATGCCCTGAACAATATAGTGTAGCGAGTACTTACATAGCATTCATATTGTACTATATATTATAAGCCATTTAAAGATGATTTGAAGTATACAAAAGAATGTGTATAGTTTATATATAGATTCTACACCATTTTATATAAGAGACTTTAGCATCCATGAATTGGGGTATCTGCGGGGGTCCTGGAACAAATCCTCCTCAGATACCAAAGGATGGCTGTATATTTTTTTTAATTTTTAGTTATACATGGACACAGTATCTTTATTTTGTTTATTTATTTTTATGTGGTGCTGAGGATCGAACCCAGTGCCTCACATATGTGAGGCAAGTGCTCTGCTGCTGAGCCACACCCTCATCCAGAGGATGGCTGTATCATTATAAACACAGAGAGGCACCTGCATTATCCCCCACTCTCTCCCAAATTCCAGGCGTCCATATAGTTGAAATATCTCTATTTCTGTATGTATTTGGAGTTGTTTTAGTTCTAGGAACTTCTCAACCTTCCCCTCTTCAACTGAAATCAGAAGGTAGTTGAGTACACAGAAAGCACTGAGCACTAACAGAAGCAAAGCAAGGACAATTAATACTATAGATGATCTTTACATTCCACCAAAATGTTAAATGAAAGTGATTAAAATTCATAGCTGTGATTGTGAATCAGTCTTAACATCAAACAGATTTTAAATACTCAAGAACTTGTGCTGTGCTCAAAGCAGTAACAGTTAAGATTTTTTAGTGTGGTTATGGTCTGTAACAGATCATCTAGCTAAGAGAAACATTACATATTTAATTGACAATAATTTTTAATCTTATAGAGAAGTGTAGATAGACTTAGATTATCAAAATGGTTCTGCCATAGTTTTCAAAAGGATTAGGCTGATGTTATATGGCACAGTTACTCACAACCCCTGTCACCTCTTAAGCAGGAATATTCAATAGTTGTTACTGACACTGCTTCAGGGAACTATAATCACTCCCCTTGACAGACCTCAGAGTTCTGTTCAGAGATCTCCAGAAATAATTATCACGTTATTTTCTTAGGCTCTAAACAGACTTTCAAAATACATTTTATACGTTTGCTTAAACATATGAGAAGTCTGCCAAATGTAATTGCTTTGTTTGTTGAGGCATTGAGTAAAATCTTAAAAATTAAAAGTTAAAGGCTTCCAGTCTGGTTCACTAGGTTTTCAGTGGACCACACTGAATGAGTGGGGCTGCCACCGAAGTTCACTGGATCAGGGAGGCTTTGAGTCCAGGAATATGGCAGCTAGCACATGAATGGTACTCAAAAACGTGTTCAATGACCGTCTTTGTGAACCTATTGGAGAAGTGAGGATAATGTGAGGTTATATGTAATAAATAGTAGACTGCATATCTGCCTAATTTGTTAATCTATCTATCTGGGTGGGAGGAAGTGGGACTTCACTAAGACTAGGCTAGAAGAGAGTGAAGAGCTCATCTGTCATTCATGACTGGAACAGGTACACTCATCCTTGCTATACTGTGACTGTTTGAATTCCCCACGTCAAACTAGAAGATGGAAGTATTTTTTATTGTATCTCACATTTTCCTTTTGGTCTATTGTGCAACATATGTTCCTAGATTTTTTTTTTCCTCTACTTTCAGGTGGTTAGATGATGCTATCATTGATGAGATCACTCCCAAGCTGATTGCTGGTCGGCCTAATACTTACACCTACACCAAGGCCTTGGGAGAGATGGTAGTGCAGGAAGAGGGCAGCAACCTGAACGTGGCCATCATCCGGCCCTCCATCGTGGGAGCCACCTGGCAGGAGCCTTTCCCAGTGAGCTCACTCTGGATTCTCTGTTCAGCTGTCAAACCACAGCACCATTTCTTTCTGATGTTCCCCTTCCCCCTTCCTGTATTCTCCTTTCCCCCACCCTTCCCTCCTCCTCCTTCTCAGGGTGTATATAGCTGCGTGCAGCAAATCAAACACAAGTTCATTTTATTACAGCAAATTCCATGTTAGCGTCAGGATTTACCCAGCATGAGGCTCCTTTGGGAGTTAACTCTGACTGTCCAAGAGTTGGGTAGAGATCTTAAATTGCTTCTCACTAACTCTAGTCTCAAAATTCCAGGGAGATAGTTTCATTACTTGGCTTTCCCACTATGGTTTCAATATGTCAGAATGTTCTTTATGGCCAAATGGGTAGGATTGCAATTTCCAAGGTAAAAAGGAGTCACAAAGCCCACGGTTTCTCAGTTTAGGAATAATATTTTTTTAACCTCTCTCTATTGCTATATCCTTTCAAAAGTTACTTTTAACTATATCATCTTCTTCAGAGAAACTCTTTGAAGCTTCAGAGCTGGGTGTTCCATTACCTACTAGCAATGCAAACTTTTGAATTGTCTCATCTATAAATCATGGTTGATTTGACTCACTTTGGAGAGTTGATTAAGTGAGGCAATGCTTGAGTAGTGTTTTGTGTAATGCCTGGTCCTAGAAAAAGATCAAAAATATTAGATTCTTCCTCTTCCCTCTCCATTATACACACACATTTTGATTTTTACAGATAAAGAAAGAGACATAATAAGGTCAAACTGACTTGCTTAGGGCTTGGGAAAATGACATTTCTCCCTTACTTCCCAAGCACAATCTTTCCTGTAACACCTCCAACCAGGCCAACACATAAAAATATATATGTGGTATGGACTCCAAAGCTGTTAAAACTTTTCCAAGAAATGGGTCATTCCCCTACAGTTCATGTTTGAAATGTTTTCACATAGCTTAGAATCCAACCTCAGATGAGGAAAAAAAAAAGTTGTGTTTGATGAACTGGTTGGCGGATCACTATATGAAGACAAGGTCCAGTTTAGCTCATGAGACAGTATGAAACTGCAGGAAAACATCCATACCTCCTTGTTATGAAAATCAGTGTTATACTGTAGCAATACATGTATGCCTGTGTTCACAGCAACACAGTTCACAATAGCCAAGTATGGAACCAGTCTAAGTGCCCATCAACAGATGAATAGATAAAGCAAATGTGGTATAAACACACAAAGAGTTTTATTCAGCTACAAAGAACAAATTATGTCATTTGCAAGAAAATGGATGGAACTTAAGCATTATTTTAAGTGATATAAACCAGGCTCAGGAAACCAGGGTTGCATTCTCCCTTATATGTCGGAGCTAGAGAGAGAGGAGTGGGGAGAAGCAGAGGAAATTCATGAAAATAGAAGGGAGTCTAATAGAGTGGAGGAAGGGAATTATGGAAGGCAGGGAGAGAGAAAGGGAGGTAGTGGGGAACAAAATTGACCAAATTATGTGCATGTGCAAATATGCCACAACAAATTCCACTATTGCGTATAATTATAAGCACCAATATAAATATTTAGAAAAAGAAAAATCAATACCTGCAACATTTTAATCCTTGCAGAATCAGAAAAAGTGTAGAAAGTAGTCAATGCTTTACCAGTGCTTTGATCTTTTGAGGAATCTTAGAAATACTGAGTTAAAATATTCTTTTGGCTGGGGTTTTGATGTTCTTCTTTGATATGTATTAAGATTACACTGTAGATGTTCCAAAGATAAAGCAATTTTCTGAAATATGTAACCAATAGAGACCTTCTATTTTTTAGGGCTGGGTTGATAACCTAAATGGACCTAGTGGACTCATTGTTGCGGTATGTATAATGAAGGGGAAATTATGTATAATTTCTTGAAAGGTTGTGGAGAAATAATAACAAAATTCTTAGTGCTGGTTTAGCTTCTTTGATCCCAAAACATAAATTTTACTATAATAATCATTGAAACAACGTATCTCCGTTTTACTGATTGGAAAATAGAGACCATATGGAATCACTTTCATTCCGTGAGAATTTTATCATATGGAAAACATGTAATATGACATCATCAATTACTGTTGAGGGGTTTTATTTTGCAAAACCTTTGAACATCAAGAATTTTCCTTTAGTTGCCACCAGATGGGGATATTTCCTCCTCTGCTGTTTATTAATGGCTTGAATTAGTGCAGCAAATTGAGGATGCAGTAAAAACCTAACCCTCAAAGATTATTGAATTATTGACTTTAAAATATGCAAGAGTTTTATGGATATGTGTATATAAAGAATACATTATGCATATACATGTACAAATATGTATCAATAACTATTTTTTTTTAATACAAAAAGGTGTGGCAGATGTTTCAAATGTAAAAACTGGCAAACATGGGAAATGCTTTTTCAATCACAAACCCCGGGGAGAGGAGAAACACAGCTAGTCCAGGTGTCCACCTCCCAGCAGTTCACAGTGACCCAGCTGAGGTGCAGTATTCCCCAGCTCACAGCGAAACACTTTAGAACCAGAACTACATCTTTGCTCTTCAGAGCATTAAATAGCAATTCAGTTATCTAAACGAGTTTAAATCTTATTAGGGTCACATGCTTCAAACAAGTCCTCAAACTAAGTCCAACATGAATTAAAATATAAATACGAGACAGTGAATCAAGTACGACTTTTTAAAGATAGTGACAATGAACTGCCTTCTGAGTTCCAAATTTTCAACCAGCTCCTCTTTCTGTTCCCAATCTGTCTTCAACTCTTTCCTTCTTACCATTTAGTTGGTGAATGTTTGGTCACCCATAATATTATTATTTTAACATGAGCCCAGAGTGGGTTTCATTACATTACAAAGCTGCACATTTATTCAAATTTCCTAAAATTTTCTTAACACCTGCCTCCTTATATCTAAAGGAAGGGAACTAGTTACAAAAAAAAAAAAAAGAATTAAGAATATAAGAAAGTGCTGATAATTTTAAATCAATGCTGGAAATGTGCAAAGTAAAGCAAACCAACTTCATGAAGTCTATCAATTATAAACATGAATAAATTTCTAATTATTGCTTCTATATAACATCTATGATCTGTGGGTTGAAGTAAAATATTGGACAAAAAATAAATAATTGTGATGTCTTTTCCCAAGCCAAAAAAAATTGTTCTATTAAGTGGTAAAATTTTATTTTCATTTTTTTTTCAGATAAATGTTTTTTTAAATTTTTAGTGACTGCTTTTGCTTGTAATTGAATAAGGACTAACAGAAACCAAAGTCATTTAAGAAATGGTAAACAAATATCAGTGGAAAATCTGGGAAACCTAAATTCTTAAAATGTCTTACAAATTAATTTTTATATGAAAAACTATTTGTGGTGTTTGTTAATTAACTAAGTATATTAATTTCTCATGAATTTAAGGAATTTTATACCCAAAAGGAATCCAAGGACCACTCACACAGAGATATGGGCACTTGAGATGAATTTGGCTGGGAAGGTTGGATAGGCTGGGAGGTCAAAAAGAACAATAACTTAGAAGCAGTGAATCAGTGTTAACTATTTTGACTAACAGCACTAGTGTTTATATGCTGGTCCTGTCTGCTACTTAAGTCCTGGCTTAATGTGTCTTATTTGTGTTATCATTTTACTTGTTTTCTTGTGCAGGCTGGAAAAGGATTTCTTCGTTCCATAAAAGCTACCCCAATGGCTGTGGCAGATTTAATTCCAGTTGATACAGTTGTCAATCTCACCTTAGCGGTAGGATGGTACACTGCAGTTCACAGGTATGGGCTCTTAAGCAGGCTCTCAAAGATCTGAGGAAGGTGAATATGTTAGGCACATTTGAAAAATACGGCACTTATTATAGAAGGCACAAATACTTGTGCCTTTGATTATAAAGTAATACGCACTTTAAATAGCTTAGCCCTGAAATTCTTGATAACCAAAAATGTTTACTTTATATTCAGTCATCTAAAATATAGCTTCCTTTTTTATGGCAAAGATATAAATGTTGATGAAATCACAACATATTTTATATTTCATTGAACTGCTCAGTTTCTTGGTAAATGCCAAAAGTCCAGACCACAGAAAGTGGGGAAATTTCTGAATACAAAGGAGAAAAAAATATAGATTGCTTGTACATTTGGTATTGTTACTAAAGGATACACAGAATTAAATTTTTATGTAAATTCAGACACATGTACTCCACAATATATCATACCTATTTGACACCACTCTCTCTCTCTTTCACACACACAAACACATGTTCACACACTCACTCACACAAACTCACACACACATACACACACACACACACACACACACACATTTTCCTTGTCACCTTCCATTTTGTGTATTAACCCAAAGAAAGAACAAAAGACGAAAGCATTGCATAGGTTGCTTTAGTCGAGGGAATTTTTAAGGCACCCTGTCTTGATGTGATTTTTCCCTTATCTTTGTATCATCAGTTCTGCATTTTGTTGTTATATAATTTTTATTTCATCTTCCAGACCTAAGCCAACCTTAATCTACCACTGTACGTCGGGAACTACCAATCCCTGTAATTGGGGCAAAATGGGTAAGTGCCTCTAGATGTAACTATATGATTACTACTAGTCTTTGCTTGAGGGGGAAAAAAAATCAAGACCAATGAAATGTGTCAGGGAGGAGAAGAAAGAAAAATAATAATAATAATTAATAAAGAGATAAAATGATTGCAATTTTGAAATATGTCATCATTCTCTGGAACATCCTGTAGTGTACTAAGTAAGTGGTGGGAACACCAACACAATTCCAAGGAATAAGGGGTCTGTTGGCCACAGAGATTTAAAAAAACAATAATAAAACCTAGCAAAAGTTGGCAATTACAAACAATGTCAGGGATAAGACACTCTTTCCTGCTGAAGCAATTCCTAGAAAAACCCACGCAGGCCTTTCTCTCTTGGGGCATTGCTGGGAATTTAAAATAATCTGTGACTGAGAAAATATAGGAAAGTCTAATAGAATAATAGTATTCCTTTGTTATTGAGTCAGTGATATTCCTCATTAGTTTATGCAGCTTGCCTCTCTTGAGGGTGCAGCAACTATAATCCTGAAAATATCTTGAAATTGATTCAATTTTAATGTTGAAGAAAGTCTGAAAGTTTATATCATCTATCTAGCTGTTGTTTAGATACTAGACAAAGTAAAAGCAAAATCAAATGTATTTCATTGGTTAGAATCTGATTTCTAATTCAGAGTGCTCAGTTGTGCCATTCTAGTTGCAAAGTTATTACTTCTGTGAAAATAAAATAAAATTACCTACTATTATCAGAGCTTTTTACACCATATATACAGTTGTTTAGACACATATCTAAATCATTTTTACCCCTTTCAGTGCAAATAACATATCTTACCTCTTTCAGTGCAAATAACATATCTTACCCCTTTCAATGAGAATAACCACTCCACTAGTAACTCATAAAAATGAGGGCTGGGGTGTGGCTCAGTGGTAGAGCACCGGCCTAGCATTTGGGAGGCCCTGGGTTCCGATCCTTAGCACCACAAAAAAATAAATGAAATGAAGGTATTGTGTCCAACCACAACTAAAAACTATTTTAAAAAAAATGGGTACGAATTTCTGTGAGATTAAAAAAAAGTCAGTTTTCTTGGATCCTGGGACAAGATTGTAGGAAATGTCACAATGTCATGGTAGCTATATTTAAAATTTTTTTTTAGTTGTTAATGGACCTTTATTATATGCAGAGCTGAGAATCAAACCCAGTGCCTCACATGTGCAAAGCAAATGTTCTATCACTTATCTATAGCCCCAGCCCATGGTACCTATATTTTTAATAGCATCTATATGAGTATTGATGGTGTGGAAATCCACTGTGAGAAGCCCCATAATAAACTTTATTGATTGGTCTACATGTAAGGGATTGGATCTATTCAATGAATAAAATCCATGGAAATACATGTAAATATCTAATGATGGCAGAGGGTAAGAAATGTGGGTTTAGCTACCCTGAAGGATGCTTCAGTCCTCACTAATACATCTCTCCTTTCCCTGTTCCATCAGTGATATTATCTCTACACATTCCATTGAGTGGTCCCAGATTATTACTGTAGAGTAGCCAGACGCTGTGGCTTATTGTATGATAGGCTTGACTTGAAGAATGCCTTCCCAAGAATGACACATACTTGGCATGTGTGCCTTCTCTCGTCCCCTTACACCATGGCAGACGTCAGCTGGTCACAACATCCTTTTCCCCCAGTGCCAAGACTCTGTATTAGCATTCTTTTTAATACAATATATCTGGACACTATTACCGATTAATTTGATTTTACATTTAAATTGAAACTTACTTGTGTTTCAAATAAGAGCAATCAAAATTCTTCCAAGGCAGGAGGCAGGAGGATCACAGGTTGGAGGCCAGCCTCAGCAACTTAGTGAGGCCCTAAGCAACTTAGTGAGACCTTGTCTCAAAATAGAAAATAAAAGGACCTGGGGATGTGCCTCAGTGATTGAGTGCCCCTGGGTTCAATACCTGGTACCAAAACACACAAACAAAATTATGGATGTTTATTATATATCTGAGTGGAAATGTATATGGATATGTAGATTAGAAAGTTGGTGTTAATATTAGATTACACTACATGTGTATGACCTTTTTATTTATTTTTCTTTTTCAAGTAAATAAGCCTATGGACCCGATTTTACCCTTCTGTATAGGGTGTATATTTTTCATATAGATTTCTAGGTGGTATCTTTTGAAGAAAGGCAATAATCACATTACCATAATAAATGATAGCTTCATTATCATTGAATAATGAGCTTAGGTACTTTCTTTGAAAAACTCTACATAAATTCAAATTGGATTTAAGTGAATATTTTTGAGAAGAACTATTGAATTGACAAATGTGCATCAAAGTTTTTCAACGAAGTATAATCTAAATAATAAGGTAAAATGAAAAGATTTTTATTAAAAAGAAACTTGGAGACAATAGTGGAAAATTAAATCTAACATATTTCCAGTAAAGTAGAATACCAAAGAAGTAAGACTGTAGTATTTAAAGTGAACCAATGCAAGGGAATCCCACCTTTATATTTTCTTTATTGAGAAAGTTTAACTTTGAGAAATTGTAACCCATTAAGAAACTTTCCTGCCAAGTGTGGTGGCACACATCTGCAATCCTAGTGACTCAGGAGATGGAAGCAAGAGGATTGCAAGTTCAAATCCAGTCTCAGCAATTTAATGAGGCCCTAAACAACCTAGTGAGACCCTATCTCAAAATAAAAAATAAAAAGGGATGGGTGTAGCTCAGTGTTGAAGTGCCTCTGGGTTCAATCCCCAGCACCAAAGAAAGAAGAAAGAAAGGAAGAAACTTTCCTGATGGTTCTGCAAGTAATAATTCAACTAAGGAATACATGGTCCCTAGGCTCTCTTTCAGAAGAGATGAGGTAATCTTGACATTGAAGCTCTTCCTTGTACTGACTCAAACTAGTTCTAGTTCCCCAAGTATTTGTTTTGAGTAAATATTTCAAGAAAAGGAGCCAATTCTTGACCCATTCATATTGTTTAAGTTTGTAGATGGCCATCTGCGCAACATAAAAGTCTTCACTTTTTTAGAATTTGATTCTTGATTCTTTGCAGCAAATCCGTAGTCTTTATTATTTTGTAAACATCTTTCACTTTAATGGGTTTATATATTTGGAAACTTAGTACCTAACTCTCCTTTTTTGCCAGGATTACAAGTCTTGGCAACTTTTGAAAAAGCCCCATTTGAGAGAGCATTCAGGAGGCCAAATGCTGACTTCACAACCAACTACTTCACAGCCTCCTACTGGAATGCGGTCAGCCACCGGGCCCCTGCCATCATCTATGACTTCTATCTGCGACTCACTGGAAGGGAGCCCAGGTGAGCAGCTGTGCAAATGGCTTTAAAAGTGTCACTGTGTTGGAAATTAGGGCCTGAAAGTCTCTAGCCCAGCTTCAGCTGAGGATCAAAGGGGATGCTAAATGTATCTCTTTCTCTCTCTCTCTTTCTCTCTCTCTCTCTCTCTCTCTCTCTCTCTCTCTCTCTCTCTCTAACACACACACACACACACTTTTGGGACAAAAAGGCAGCAGTAGTGAGAAACCACAAACTACTGCTAACCTAAAAATCTCCTGCCTGCCATAATGAAGGAAGTTAAAGAACTTGCTTGATGAAATAAGCCAATCCCAAAAACCCAGGGCCTGAATGTTTTCTCTGATAAGTAGATGCTAATCCGTAATGGGGGCGGGGTGGGTGGAAAAGGGATGAGTGGAGGAACTTTGGATGGGACAAAGGGGAGGGGGGTAGGGAGCAAGGAGGTGAAAAATATGGTGGAATGGAGATGGACATCATTACCCTAGATACATGTATGATTGCACGAATGGTGTGACTCTATTTCACGTTCAACCCAAGAAGTGAAAAATTCTGCTCCATTTGTATACAATGAATTGAAGAGCTCTCTACTGCCATGTAAAACTTATTAGAACTAATAAAATAAATAAATAGATAGATAAATAAGAACTTGCTTGATAAATTTAGCAAGTCATCATCCACACCAAAAGTAAAGCAACGGAGACTCTGTCACTGGAGTGTTTCAAGTAAATCATTTTAAAATACACAGTAACAACAATCTCATTTCTGAGAGCTTACTGTGTGGCACTTCTGGGGGGAAGGATGACAGCATCATGATGATCCCATTTCCACTCTCACATCTCAGAGAAGACATTCTCATCATCCCAAATTTAAAATCAAGGAAAGAGAAGCTAAGGGAAGAATTTGAATAGTCTCAAAGGAAGTGTCAGAGGAAGGGTTTAGAGAACGCTGAGTCTCAACTGCCAGTATTGTGAACTGTGAAGGAATTAGGGGGAACAAAGTGTGCTGAAGCTAAGCCATGAGCAGTGTGACAGAGGACATATCCCTTATATCTTTGTCTCACTGGAGTAATGAGAAGTCATCATTATTATAATTACCAAGTCAAGCCTGTGATCAAGAATTAGACCATGAACTGTATTGGCTTCTTTACTATGCTTTATTAGGGTTAGGGGGTTCTCAGTGTGCTTAATTTTCATCCTTTTTAACAGAGCAAATGACTCAAACTTAGCCACTGTAGCTTATCCATATTTTCAGAGACTCCATTTAGAGCTCACAACTCAGCTCTTTACTGAAGTATAAGGACATGTGACTATAAGGGAAATATTTGAATGGGCTTTTTTGTTGGGAGAGGGGGGTAAAAACGGACAGCATGCCTTTATTTTGTTTGTTTATTTTTTTATGCAGTTCTAGGGATTGAACCCAGTATCTCACATATTCTAGGCAAATGCTTTGCCTCTGAGCTATAGCCTCAGCCCTTGAATGGGGCTTATTAAATATAAAAAGTAAAAAAAGAATTACAGCAGAAATGCTAAAACGTTCAAAATAGTCAGGGTTAAAAGACTTAGATAAATAGCAGAAAGTTCAGTATGTAAAAAATAAAAACACAGGAGGAAGAGACAATAAAAATCCTTATGTGTTTTGTTTTCAAGAAACCAAACTGTAATTTTGGTGGGAAATGGGTTCTTTTGTTTTGTGGCATAAAAGCCCTAAAATTAGTTCATTTCTGTAAGTCCCAACTTCCTCTTCTGTAAAAAGAGGATAGTGATCATATCTATTTTATAGGACTTTACATCAAAATGTTTAGAATAATAATTTCTATTATTGCTAAAGATGTTTTAAATTTTTATGAGGTAAAATAAATCATTCTTTTACCATTTTTGTATTTTAGCTATTAAGAAAAACTTTTCTACCTTAGAGTGATAAATTCTTTTTTTTCCTAAAAAAATAAATACCATTAGGTCAATATAGTCCTATATATACAATGATAATACTGTTTGTATGACTATTATTTTTTAGAATTAAAGTGCAACTATTAAAATCACATCAATTGTATCAGAGTTGGGTCAGAGATTTATATAATTACAGTTAAATGGAACTCTATTATAGTATTTGAGTCAAAGAACAATGATATCTACCTTCTGTTTAAGAAATTTTCCATAATACAGTGAGATAAGTACCCCATGAGTCATTGGGTACACAGGCTTTAGAATTTAACCAAAAATAAAACCAAATCCCCAAAATAGCACCATAACTCATTACTGCATTGAATACAGTAATCACTATTATGAAGATTGGTTTAATTAAGATAAAAATCAAATGCTTTATAATCCAAAGAACTAAGTTGGAGTATTAGCAATGTCACTTTGAACATAATCTTTCTATGAAGTGAATATAAGTAATATCAATGTTGATGACCTCATAGTTGTATTGTGAGGATCAAATAATAACACATATGAAAGTTTCTTGCTAATTGTATTAAACTTGGAAGATTCACACAAAGGAGCTGTTTCAAGTTCTGACCACAGAATTGGAAAATTACCTCAAGTCATGAGATACAAGGTTATGAGATTGCACAGAGATTTTTGGAGGTTGTTCAAAACTAAGTTGTAATATTGGCTTTGACACAGTCTTAAGTCTATGTTACCTATTTATGAAAATGCAAATATTTATTTATAAAGATAATATTATGCAAAATAGCAGAGAGAATATTTCTTAGAAGTATCAGTGCTGTGCATAATTCAGGTTATCAAGAGTGGGTTCTTTTCTCCTTAGGTCTGCATTACAACTGGCAAATGCTTTAGTTCCCCAGATGCTAATATGGTCAATGCTTCTCTCCAGGAGTTATATACTAAGATCTCAGAGACTATTTATTTTTTAAAAATGCAAGAACATACAATAAAGAGAAATAAGTTTTCCAACTGTCTCCCTCAGAATTCAAAAAATGAACAGTGTGTCCTTAGGGGGGTATAGCAGGCTGTTTTAAAAGTAAGTTTGCTACTCTTAGGAAAGAGATGGCAGAAAGAAGACTTTGGTATTAAAGTGCCTGATAGAGGAATCTCCTTTAAATTCATTCCCTTTCCTTCATTCAACAGAGTTAAGATGGAAGAAAAAAAAACGATTAAGAATTTTAATGAGGAATTGGAGAAAAAGAAGAGGAATAAGATTTTTCTTCAATAAAATTTGTCATCCATCCCAATATAGTGTCATCCCAATATAGTAGCCATCTGTGGTGCACTGATATCTGCTTCTAATTGATCTCGTTCTTAGGATGACAAAGCTCATGAATCGGCTTTTAAGAACTATTTCCATGCTGGAGTACTTCATCAACCGGAGTTGGGAATGGAGCACATACAATACAGAAATGCTGATGTCAGAGCTGAGTCCTGAGGACCAGAGAGTAAGTACAGCACTGGTGCAGACAACAGGAGAATCTTACTCATTTGGAATTTAGGATTATTCAACTCATAAAGGCAATGGAGGAAGTTTTGGTTATATACACAGATAATTTTTTCCTAAGAAAATCAGACACAGTGAAAGGAAATGAGTTTAATGGAGGTAAGAAACCTATGTTCTTGGACTTCAGTTAGATTTCCACTGCTGCTCTGCAATGATGTATTTCGTCTACTGTACTTCCATCCTGAAATTCTTTTTTCATCCCTCAGTAGTCATATTCACCACAAGCCCTCATTATCTCTGACTTTCCCCTATGTACTATGCTGTCAATAAAAAATTATTTTATTGTTCATTTTTATTGTTCATAAACTCTTTCATCTACTATACTTGACAAATTAAAATTGATCTGCATCTCCACAGCTACAGTTCCTTTCTTTTTTTTTTTTTTCTCCCTGGTACTGAGGATTAAACACAGGGACATTCAACCACTGAGCCACATCCTCAACTCTTTTTTATATTTTATTTAGAGACAAGGTCTTGCTGAGTTCCTTAGGGCCTCACTAAGTTGCTGAGGCTGGCTTTGAATTTGCAATCCTCTTGCCTCAGCCTCCTGAGCTGCCAGGATTACACATGGGCACCACCATGCCCAGCCCTTCTTATCTATTTTAAAGCTAACCCCTACACTATGCATTCTACCTCATCTAAATTTCACCCCACCAGTATGGTCTCCTTCCTGCAATATTTTTCTTCCACAATGCAATTCTAATTTTTAAGATAGGCCATCTCTTTTTGGTATCAGCATCACTTATTTCCTTAGTTTCTTAACAACCACAAAGGATAAACCTCTGCAGATTCTAAAATTCACAAACGCAGAAGTCTTTTGTACTTTGTACATGTCCTAGGTTTCATTTTCCCTGAGCATATCCTTATGACATTACTAAAGTTTTAACTAAACTTTTAAAAGTTTTTACTTCCTCTCTAATGATTGGCATTTTCTCCTAAGAAACAATTGTTTTAAAAATGTTTTCTATTTATTTTGTACTTGACAGCATTGAAATAGTAAGTTTCAACCTAAAATGACTAAAAATGTGTATGGGAATAGTTTCAGTGGATTTGACCATGCTCTCAAAATATTTTAGCAAAGGTAATAATCCTAAATGTAATTACTGAATTCCAGTGTGGCTCGGAATTCAGTTTGATTTGCTAATAAAAATAAAAAATTTTTAATAAAAAATTCCTAACTAGAACTTCACTGAAATCTAACTCAGTAGTGTGAAACAGCATAAAAATAAAAGCCTCTATTTATTTATTTATTTTATTTTTTTTTTTTTAA